CGTGCCGAGGAGCCCAGGCCCCACGGAGGGACACGCGGAGAGGGGCAGAGCTCACGCGGGCCAGGACGAGGAGGGCATCCTGCTGCAGACCAGGCTGCCGGGTGGCATCTGTCCCCAGCACAGGGCTTGGGGGACACCATGGAGACCTTCCCTCGGCCCGGTGAGCTCCTCTTTGGAAAAGGCTGTTTTGCTCCTGGCCGCCGTCTAAATACCCTAATTTAGTGTCTTTACAATCTGGGGGTCTCTCGGGGGGCTCAGTGGGAAGCTGGTCCTGCTTCTTATCAGCGTGGGGGCCTCCCTATGGAGAAGCCCTATGGAGAAACCCTATCTTCCAGGTCAGACCAAGCCAGAAGCTTTTCCTGACCTCTCCAACATGTCCCAGGGACCTCTTTCCTCACCCCAGCCCTACATCTGTGGGAGCAGGCGCAGATCCATGAACTTGGCAGAGACAAAAAGATGCCAGGAAGCCTTCGCAGGTGCTAGAAGGAGGGTACATGGGGCTGCAAAGCACAGGGCTGGTGCTGGGAAGCCAAAAGTGGGGTGCAGGGGGCCCTGGGGCCAAGGAAGGGCTTTGGCACAGCTGCGGTTTTGGGGGTGTGAGTGAATGACGTGGTAGCATTTGTCTCACGTGTAGAGATGTGACTAGATTCCTCACAGCTAAACTGCCTGGCAGGAGCACATGGACACCTTGAGAAAGAAGTGCACAACGTTGTTATCACACACGGTGAGGAAAAGCTGTAGTTTTCTCCGTTTCGTTGCTCCCTTTACATCTGTTTGCAGGAGGACGTGAGCCTTGACACAGCCTTTCCCCAGTGCAGTGTCCCAAAACGCAGGCGAGGAGGCAGGAGAGGAGGGCAGGCAGAGCCGTCTCACAGCCGTGCTCTTAATATTCTCATTTTTGGAAGAGTTTCTCATGCAGGAAGGCTCGTACGGTCAGCACAGACCCCCCTGGGTCTGCAGAGAGTCCCAGGCAGTAGCTTTGAGCCCGTTTCAAGGGATCCTAACGTTGCTGTGAGAGGTAACGCTGCAAACGTCGCCGCTGTTAACGATTTCACTGCACTCCTGAGCATGTGTGACCGTGTGATCTGATGCTACTCTGAAGCTCTTTAACATCCGCTATTGAATAGACGCACTTGCCTAAAATAAAAACGTAAGGATGTGTTTTCAAATACAGTTTAATCTCATTATAAGTCTACATTGTGTAGATCATTGCAAAAAGCACCCTCTTTTACTGAGGGTCTGCAAAGGAGAGGGGTGAACTGGTTCCATCTTCCCAAAAAAATGAAGGGACCCAGGTATTTAAGGTTAGAAAGTGAGATTGTGCCCGTGAGACAGCAGTGCCACCCGGCAGCGCTCCAAGGGCTGGTGCAGGGGTTGTCACTGCTGCTGTCACGGGTGACGCTGGAGCCGTCTCCTCGCTGGCTGCAAAGTTTACCAAAGTCTACCCAAAGTTAACCCAAAGTTTACCCTGCCGCGGCCACAGCAGTCCTAAAAACCTGGCTTCTGTGTTTGCTCCAGCTCTATAGACATCATCAGCGTTTCCAAGCACCGGGAACAACCTCAGCTCCCTCTTTCTCCCAGAAAGAGAAATCAGGCTTTGGCCTTCAGGCAGATCCCACGTCATCGTGGAAGTCCCAGGAAACACGAGAGGAAACCTGCAGGCTCCTCGGCCATGAGGAGCTGTGGATGCCCCATGCCGTGGGGTTGAGGTGGTGCTGGAGACACCATCTCATGACCAAGGTGGCAGTGGGGTCCATCACGGTGCGTGGGGGCCAACGGGCACAAGGAGGGTCCATCCTGCTGCCCATGGGAGGATCCATGGGCAGAAACGTGTTGCAAGCGTCGAGGATAAACCACGTTGATGTGTGTGTGAGAACATGAGCGTGGATGAAGCCATGAACGTGCCGTGTCACGAGGACCAGGCGTGGGATGGACGAGCCCGCGAGGAGGTGACGTCCGTCACACCTTGCGTTTGGGGTGAGGAGGGCGTCATGTTGTGAGCGTGAGGAGCCACAGGTAAACCAGGTCGAGAGTGGCGGGGCAGATCCTCGTAGTGTAGGAGTTAGGACAAAAAATGTTGGGTGTGAAGCAGTGACGGGATCCACTGCGGTATGAAATAACAGAATAGTGACTTTTGTTGGAGAATTAATCACGTTGTTCGAGTCTGGGGGGCGAGGGGACACGGCGGAGGGTTGTGACACAGGGTCTGGACACAGCTGCGAGGTGTCCTCGAGGGGGAACGCGACAAACTGCGTAAGAGGAGAGGTGACGTGTCCCGGGGAGGGGTCTGGTGTCACCCATGTCCCGTGGTTGTCACAGAGCCCTGGGCTGTGTCATTCTGTGAGGAGGAGAGGGGACAGGGGCATCTTAAGGAGCTTCAGTGGAAACCCTGCCCCAGGAGCACGGGGAGGCGACGGATGCGCCGGGTCACCGGTGCGGCTGCGCTGGGTGACAGGGGGGCGTAAGAGGAGAGGTGGGACGCCTGTGTGATGGGACAGCAGTGGGATCCATCGGGGAGATGATGGGTGACGGCACAAACTGCGGTGCCGCTGTTAGCGGCGGTGGTTTCCACCGCGCTGCAGGAGACAGGATACACCGTGTCACCGGGGGTGACATCCGTCCCGTCCTTAGCGTGGCCAGGGACGGCCACCACCGTGTTGGGGGCACGGAGAGGCGAGGGGACACGTCGCGTCCCCGGTGTGAGACCACGTGCCCTGTGTCAGGGGTGACGGGACGCACGGCGTCGCTAGTGCGGGGACGGGAGGGACACAGTGTCACCGAGGGGAGGGGACACAGAGCAGCCAGCCCTGCCAGCACCCAGGACAGCCGAGCAGCGTCACCGCAGCACTAGGGTGACTCGGGACAACTCGTGGCCGCTTCTGGACCAAGGTGGGTCCCCAGGAGAGCTCCAGCCACCAGGGCTGCTGCTGGGCAGGGTGATGCCCCACGCTGTGCCCAGCCTCGTCAACGCGGGCATCTCCTCTGGGCACAGACACAGCAACGGGCCACCAATCCCTCGGGAATGCTGCTCCTCAGCACGGGATGGACCAGCAGCCCCGGGATGAGCGGGATGGGGATGGCAGGAGCGTCCCCAGCACCGATGGGGCGGCAGGTTGGGCCCGGCCGCAGGACGCGGCGCTGGGACAGGGCAGCGGCTCCGGGTGCTTCCCGGCCGGCACTGAACTCTCAATAGACCACGAAAGCCATATCCGTACGGAGCTCCGGACGCGCCGGGGGGCGGCGGCGGGGCAGGGCAGAGGACGGTCCGTGTTGTTGTGCTGTGTTCTTGTATGTACATAAGGGGAGACAACGAACGTCGGTGTTAACTTTATAACCTTTCTAATATCCTGTGCTAATCTCGGAAAATAATCCTCTAAATATATCTGGATTACACACGTTCTCGGCTGCTCTCGTTGCCTTTGCGTGCCCGGCTCGCCCAGCGCGGGCACCCTGGGGTGTCACCCGCAGAGCCCGTTGTCCCCTGGACCTTGGCACGTGCCCAGCGGGGCCGCTGCGATGAGCGGGGCCACGCGGCAGCGCCCGGCGCCATGGGGGGACGTGGGCGCAGGGCGAGGGGACGCGGGGTCCCGGGGGGAAGGACGGGGAGGCAGAGCTGGACACAGGGATGGACACGGGATGCAGCCCAGGAGGACGCGGCTCAGCCCGTGGATGGAAGCAGCGGGGCCAAGGATGGACATGGCCCATGGATGGATGTGGGTTGGGCTATATGGACACAGCTCAGTCCATGGATGGACACAGCTCAGTCCATGGATGGTCACGGCTCGGTCCATGGATCGTCACGGCTCGGTCCATGGATGGACATGGCTCAGTCCATGCATGGACACAGCTCGGTCCATGGATGGACATGGCTCAGTCCATGCATGGACACGGCTTGGGCCCTGGGTG